TTATTAACCTTTAGCACAGTGGAGACAAAAATTGTCACTGTAGAATTCTCACCCTTTGCACACTGTGAGCGCATTCTGTTGCATCAAGAGGGTTTCTATAAATAAATATTTGTCAACTGTTATTTCCAGAAACAACAGTTGACAAATGTTTATTTATAGCAACCCTCTTGATGCAACAGAATGCGCCTACAGTGTGTAAAGGGTGAGATTTCTACAGTGACAATTTTTGCCTCCAGCATGCTTAAGGTTAAATCGAGAGAATAATAAAAGAACAGGAATTAAGAAGACAGAAGATAACAATTGACATTACATTTAAATCTTTGAAGACCAAAGTTGACTGGAAAGCAAGAAGCCGAAAGAGAGTTCTACAAAAGAGAAGTGTGAGAGAAGAGGCTGTTAACATACAACTTATGGTTATATTTAGCCATTTCAACTAAAATTATGAGACCTTGCTACCAATCTAGTACTGCATTTAAATTCATGAAGTCTACATACCATAGAGCAGTGCTACTCAAAGTGGTGGTTCACAGGCTGGTACCAGTATGCAAACCATCAGCTACTGGTACACAGCCAGTGTTCAGGCCATGCTAAGGAATCATTTATGGTGGAGTAATGGATAGCTGCTCGGATTGATGAATTGGAGAGCCAAGTTTGAAATCCAGTGAAATCCAATCCATTCACTTACATGCTAATAACCTTTGAAAAGGTATGAATCCTCTTCTTCTTCCCAGCTATGGGTAAATATCAGGACAGACTGGGTTCTATAGCCTTGCATGGCAACTGGTCTACTACAGAAAGAAATGGCAACCTACTGCAGGAAAAATTCTGTCTGATCAGTCATATATCGAAAGATACATGTTCGCCTAAGCATGTATCACGCATGGCACATAACTGATTGTTAATAAACTGCTTATTTTTTTATTACTTTTTGTATGTTTTGATATTGAATTATTTTTTGCAAAATGGAAGATAAAAAATAGTCAACTTTTATTATATTCATTATACATATTGTTTCCAGTATAAATTAATATTATCATGAGATATTATAGGCACGTGACATTGGGAAAAAAATGCTAGTCTGCCATATCAGATAGTTTAAGAAGCACTGCCATAGAGGAAAGTTCATCAGAACAATTACCATGAAAGTATTTATAGAAAAGGTACAGGGAAGCTACGTTATGGCAGGAAAAGTGACTGAAAACTTAGATGCTGGGTCAGAAATGATAAAATTGCTGATAAATAATTTATCTGCCATTTTAATAAATAATATTTTTAATATTTTTTTTTTACTGATTTTTCCTATTTTGCTTTTCACAGGGTTGATTAGGCAGAATGTGGGTTTTTTCATGAAGTTGGTTTTGTGGTCTTTTGCTGTCATGAAAGCTTTCATCTATTTTTAGTTCGTTGGCTATATCTTTAGCATCCTGGTTTAATATGTTTTTTTGTGTTTACGGTTGTCTTCTTATATAATTGCATAATGTTGTTAGTTATGGGTTTATTGTAGGCTGTGGGTTCCATTGTGTATATGTTCGTAGTCTTGTCAGCAAATATGAATACCTTATTGGAGTTCATTATTTTTTTGGTTTCTATAATTTTCTTCTGGAAATTATCCAAGTGTTTTTTGAACTTCAAGTTTCTGACAGTATTTATCATGTCCTCCTTGAATTTCAGTATTTCTTTACATTTACTACTGTTGACCCTATGAACACAAAAAAGAGAAACCACTGACACCATAATACCATAAATTATTTTTTAATTCAAACTATCATCATAATAATTATAATTATTGTTATTATCATTCCACCACCATTACTACAATCACTTCTACCATTTTTACAATAACTATTTACTTCTACAACTCTTATTATCATCATCCTCGCCCTCATTACTACCACACTAATACCACCACCACAAACTGTCGCCACTCTAATTACATTTGCTACAATATTGTAAACATTGTAATTATTATTTCAGTCTTACTATTAATTTATCTAATATTGTATAATCTTTCTTATCATTTATCCCCAACTTTGCAACCATTATTCCATTCCCACTATTTCACCACCACAATTACCATTGCTGCATTAGACCACAATTATACTTCACCCCCTCACCAGTAAAATAATACCACCAATAAGTATTATAATTTGGATTTTCTACCACTTACATAAGCACAATCGCCAAAAACAAGCAAATAACCAGCTTTAAAATAATAACAAAACAGCATTAAAAAGTTAAAAATGATAACGATTTTACCTACCATAGTCTTACACAGACCCCATCTTACGAAAAAAAAAAACAGATGGATAGAAGGTGTGTGAACGTGTCTGCATACGTATATATGTGTGTGAGAAAACATTATTCTGTGAACAAAATAGACGATCTGTGGGTTGACACTGCTACTTGAAAAGAAGTTCACTACACAATCCAACATTGAAGGCAGTGACCAACTGCATACATATACACACAACTATGCATGGATGCGCCTATAACCCCACTCCCACACTGTTCATATATGTTTATGTTTGTTTTCCTACCACTACCATAAAAACACCAATATACACAACCATAAATAAATCCAACATTTCAAAATTAATCAGTTTGACAATCACAAAGAGTGTGAAACCCAGGGTCACAAACTCGCATCAATCCAACTAAATATGTTAGCTCTATCACTGATTTTGAGCGCTTTCCAATCAGTACCACACACACACACACACATACATACATACATACATACATACATACATATATATATATATATATATATATATATATATACATTCACTTACATGCTAATACCCTTGGGAAAGGTGCGAATCCTCTTCTTCTCCCTGCAGCTATGGGTAAATAGCAGGACAGACTGGGTTCTATAGCCTTGGATGGCAACTGGTCTAAGAGAAGGACAACTCTGAATTCAAAACCTGCAGAGTTTTGTTTGGGGACCTTGTGGCACTTAGTGCACCAGGTCTCTGTATTTGGCCTTTCAAAAAGTGTGGATGGTCCTGCACAAAACCTTCACCACTATAATCAAATTTCTTGTGCTGTTGTCGAGCTGTCGGTTTCGTGTGAACTGATCTGCTTGACCCTCATACGTCGAATTCAACAGGAGAGTCGAGAGATTCTATATATATATATATTTATATTTATATACATACACATTTTACATGTGTATATATATATATATATATATATATATATATGAAGAAATATATTTTTAGGGTGTGCTATATTTATGGGATAAAGTGCTCAATATCAGAGATACAGCGTATATAAATATAAAAGGGAACATTAAAGTCAACATTCGGAGGCGACAGGCTGTTTCATGCTAGATGCAATCGTCAGCATGAAACAGCCTGTCGTCTCTTTTATATTTATATGTATATATATATATATATATATATATATATATATATATATATATATATATATAATGAGAAGCCACATAAAAAAAAAACATTATTATTTTTTTAATTTGCAACTTTTTAGTTGTTTTTATATATATATATATATATATATATATATATAATGTAAATTTATTGCTAATAATTTTACTATAGAAATGCATTGACAATGAGGAAGAAACAAATTGTCAATAGTCATGAATTAATGAAAACATGACTGACAGAGAATGGTAATGATAATATTAGCTGTTTCCTTATAAGGAAACATTAGGCATTCATTGATTGAGCAATCAGCAAACTTGGGTGTTCATGTCCTCCCCCCTAGTGTTTATTATTTTTGTTCTCAATTCTTAAGAACAAAGAAAATGTAAAAATTCATCTTCATCCTATGTTTAGGTTTTATTATAATTCTAATCCTCACTTAAAAAAATAAAGATTGCTGTAGAATGAAGGTAGTTAAAATAGCATTGTCCATGGAAAAACTGTCTTTTTGACACAGTGTTTTTGGGGGGAATGAAGGTCTATGTTTGCTGTTGAAATTTATAAAATCTTTTTATTAAAACAATTTTTCAGGCAAATGTTAATGCATTGCTAATGATTCTACTATCAAAATGCATTGACAATCAGAAAGAAAGGGATTATCAATGGTCAAGAATTAATGCAAACATGACTAAAAGAAAAGGGTTTTTATAAATACAATGTAATTACATTGCTAACAATTTTACTATAGAAATGCACTGAAGTCAGAAAGAAAGGGATTGTCAATGTTGCTGACAGAACAGTGCAATTATATATGTAAATCTTTAATGCAGAAAGAATTTCTGAAATGTGGATGGATCTTATTTAATATTCCTTTCTGCAAATTTCATATGAGGAATTTTGTGACTGCTCTTTGAAACGCAAAGAAAAAATATGTGTCAGCAAAATTAACTTCACGTCTGTTATCAGGAGCAAGTCTCATACAGAGATAAAACAAAACGACAAATATATAGAAAGAATATGAAAAAAAAATAGGTAGACTGTAAGAAAGTGGGATGAGGTTGGAATGCAAAACAGCAGTATGTCAAAGGTAAGAACAGAATGTAACAGAGAAATAAGAGTTTGGGGAATACCTGGGCATAGATTCTTATAGAGTTTCAGAGTGGATCCTGGTTTTGGCATGGTTCCAATAAATGGTCAGTGGAATCACAACTGACAAGTTTTTATTATCTGTGCATATTAATTAAACGAATTTTGTGCAGGGAGGAATTGTGAACTTTGGATGACTTCTGTGATAAAATCAATGGTGAGGCAAAAAAAAGAGGAAAAAAACAAAGCAAAGAAAGAAAATGAGGTGTAGGGAATGATGCCAAGACCTATATATAGAGTTTTAAAAGTACTAAGGATGTAATTAGTGAATACAAATCCTTTCTACCAAACTGAAAAGATGTGTGTTTACATGTAAATATGTAAATGTGTATGGCGATGTAGAAAGATAGATTTAGATCAAGATAAATAAACTCAGGGAAACTATATAAATATAATTCAGTATGTGTCACTGTAAATGAGTTTGAAGGCAACTGTGCCAGGAGACTGAAAGAAATTGTACACCAAATATCATCCAAGAATTTTTCGCTGTAAGAGTTTTTTAATAAATGAGTAAGAAAAGTTATATTTACATTCCTGCTTTTCAGAAGTGTAAAGATAAATAGATGTGAACAAAATAAGAGATAGATAGATAGATAGATAGATAGATAGATAGATAGATAGATAGATAGATAGATAGATATGAAAAGGAGATAGATGTGAAAAGAATGAGATAGATAGATGTGAAAAGAATGAGATAGATATATAGATGTAAAAAGAATTAGATAGATGTGAACAGAATGAGATGGACAGATAGACAGATATGAACAGAATGAGATAGATGTGAATAGTCTGTAAATAGATAAATATATAGATTTTTTCTTAGTTTTTCAAATTTTAATCTTTTTCAGTTTGATATACACAATTATTGTTTTTAAGGATGATATGATCATTGGAATAAACATTTTATTTTTTATGTATATTTGTTGCCTTTATAACAGATATATGTTTAGATATGAAGATTCTGAGACAGACAGATTTGAATAGTCTGGAGATATGTAGGTAGATAAATAGATAGGAACAGACTAATAGTTAAAATGTTCATAGGTTGATCAAAATAATCTCATGGAATGTGACCAAATGAGGTTTATTTTTCAATATAGCTCCACTTGTGGTTCACACTTCCATTGTTGTTACAGTCCTTGGATTTCATTGGTAAGAAGCTTTCGTCCTGTTAGTCAAAAAAGTCATCAACAGCAGATATGATGTCATCATCACTGTGATACTTGTTATCAGCCAAATATTTTTTCATGTTGGGGAAAAGATGATTGTCAGATGTGGCCAAATAAGGAGAATAGGGAAGGTAACTAACCAGTTCAAAGTCACAGTCACAAACAGCAGGCATTGAAATCAAGGACGTGTGTTGGAGCATTGTCCTAATGAAATAAAACCTCTTTTCCTGGGTCTGCAGGTCTTTCTGGTAGGGTTGCATTAACAGAAGTTTGCACCTGACCTCTCTGGTGTGACATCATGTGACTGGCTAAACCAGCTACCAAGAGGTCGACTCTTCCAAAAATACTGCAAGCATGTTGGTGCTGTGGGGCAGATTCTATTTCTCCCTTCCTAACGGTGCACTTTTTGTTGGAATGCTCAATTCCCTTCTACTCAAAATTGTTGCAGCATTCCAAAATCAATATTTTCCAGCCAGATCTATCTTCAGCAACACTTTCCCAGTCTTCAAAATTAACACCAAGAGTCTTTAGGTTACATTTAACTACTTCCTTGAAACATATATATATATATATAATTATTTATTCAAAAATTATAACATAAATATATTATAAAATCACTACAAAAATAGCCATTTTGTTTCAACACTTCTGGTGTCTTATCAAGTGATGATGTTGAATGCAGAATAAAGGGTTTTAAAAGGTTCAAATCAATCAAACATCCCTCGCTGTTACATAAGCTGGAATGACCAATCAAAACAAAATGGCTATTTTTCTAGTGGTTTTATAACATTTATGTTATAATTTTCGAATAAACAATTATATTTGCTCTACTCTGTATTGAGCACTCATTTAAGAATAGTATTTGTTGGTTACTGGAATTTATTCTGTATACACTAATCATATACTTGGTATATATATATATATATATATATATATATATATATATATGTGTGTGTGTGTGTGTGTGTGTGAATGTAAATTATTTTCTGATACAGTGTCTTTGTAAAGGAACAAAATGAATAAAAAGGGACAAAATTGAAAAACTATTCTTAGCCGACGTATTTCGTCTTCTGAGGATCTTTATCAAGGATTGCCTTGATAAAGTCTCACAGCGGATGAAACACATCAGCTAAGAGTAGTTTTTCCTTTTGTTTCTTTTAATTTATATAGAGTTTGTCGATCACAAATAGCGTGAAACCCAGGGTCACAAACTCACATCAGTCCAATTAAATATGTTAGCTCTATCACTGATATTGAGTGCTTTCCAATAAGTACCACACATATATAATATATAAATAATATATATAAAAACTACATTTTATTCACTTTTTTTTTCTGTGTAGGTTCATATATTTGTATTTATTTCTATGTGAGTGTATATATGCATATGTGTATATGTGTATGTATGTGTGTATTTATGTATATGTGTATAATTATTTACCAGCTGCCCCACGCAGCAAGATGTGGCACAAGGCTGAGTTTAACGTGGGGTATTCGAGTCTGTAGGCTTGGGCAAAAATTCCCTATAGACTACGTAAAAACGGAGTCAGTTTCCCAAAATGAGATGTATATGTGTATATATATAGGTATATGGGTATATGTGTATATATATGTATGTGTGTAGGTATACTTTTGTAGTGAAGAATGTGTGTACACATATGTATGCATGTATTTTTATTTTTTATTTTTTTTCACATATTTTTATATATTTGTACTCGTGTACATGTACTAATGCATATATAAGTATATATGAGATATTTATATATATTTGTGTGTTTAGGAGTTTTCTTTTTTATATATTAGATAGTGTTATTTTTAAGTGTTACATTTTCCCTGGACATTTGAATTTGGCATTTTCTTATGTGTGTATGTGTATATATCTATTTTTTTATCCATTTCTGTATATTTTAGTGTCTTTTTTTCTTTATGTTGTTCATTGACGAATATTTGTTTTTCTATTCTACCACATATTAAATTTTATCTATTGAACCATTTTTATCTATATATCTTTTCCTGTGTAAGTTATATTTTAATAGTATGTTTGAATTTGTTTACCAACACTTTCAAATTTGAATATTTCTTGGTGTGTATATGTGCGTGTCTTTATCAATGTATATGTGTATAATTGCTTATATGTGCCTTTCATTGTATGCATATGTTGTCATTTTTTTTTAAGGGTTGTGGACACCTATTTCCTGTTTTGTCATTTTTTGCATGTTTATGTCTACGTATTGGTGTATTATAATCTGATTGTGTATGTATTGTCTTTTGCAATATTTCACCCTCCCCTGCCCATATCATCACTTCAAATGTATCTAAGTTGTAACAGAGCTCAGAGCAACATTAGATTTTAACATTTATTCTAACTGAATTTTTGGCCTTTCAATAAAAACAAAATAAATAACAAAACATATGTATTTTTTCCTCAGTTTCTTCTTTAAATAATTTTATAATTTTTTAAACTTAATATAGATTAAATTTAAAATTGGTAATTTTTAATTTTATAGTAAAATTTAATATTAATTGGTTAGTATGATTTCTATTTTAGTCTAACCCTAACATTAAAGCATTAATTAATTATTATGAGCAAGGTTCATTGTCAAGTTTTTTGAATTCTCATATACTTGTATTTTGATTGGTCATTGCAGCTGATGTAACAGCATTTTCTCTAGCAAGGGATGTTTGATTGATTTGTACCTTTTAAAACCCTTTATTCTACATTCAACACCATCACTTGATAAGACACCAGAAGTGTTGAAACAAAATAGCTATTTTTGTAGTGATTTTGCAACATATTTATGTTATAATTTTTGAATAAATAATTATATATATATATTTATACTAGCAGCATGGTTCGGCGTTGCCCGTGCTTGATTCAAAAGTCGTACGACTCATACAGCAATCGCTATCACTTGACTTAAAATATTTTTGCCCTTCCTTGCCTTTAAAGGAGTGCCCTTTGCCATGCTGATGTTGCTACATGCCTTAATTCTTGCCTATCTCACACTGCGAATTTTTTCTAAGCTCTAAACTAAACATTAAATCTGTTACGAGAAAAGAACTAAACAAAATGAACACAAAACGATCAACTTTAAAAAGGACTCATAACTGGAAAAACAGAATGAAAAAAGAATGTTAACAACAAATACTTTTTCACACCCAACCCAGTTCTGTGGAATCAGAATCAACGTTGAGTTTAAGCAAGCGAATGAGCCAATTGGAGTAAAGTGCCATGCAGATTTAAATTTTTCCCACTTGTGACGAATGCAGCTATCGATTTTTTTTGCATGCTAGCATGCTAGTTAACATTCGTGTCAGTCAGCTGTTGGCTCTCACACTGGCCAATAGGATCTTCCTGCCTATTCGTGGCAGCCATCTATAGGCTCTCACTCTGGCCAGTAGAAAATGGCTGCAAACTACATGAAAATTGCCATAGAAGCATGAAAAATTCGATTATTTCCACTATCGATTAGGAGTTGGAAAATGCAAAGTCAGTCTTGGCCTTCCCGCTAACTTGGAGCATGTGCATGTAAATTTTGGTGCAAATCTGTCGAAAATTGCGGCTGTGCATTCATTACACACATACACACACATCCTGCCTTTTATAGATAGAGATACATATACATTTTACACACACACACACACACACACACACACATATATATATTGATGCATGTTTCATTAAATAATAATATAGAGAAGTCTTGTCTATTTATTTTATGTAAATTCTTTTCATATCGTCTGATAAGCTTAATAACATTATCATTAAATGAAGAAAGAAAATCACAATATTGATACATATTTTTTAATCCTATCTAAGCTTTTGGCTTACATAAGCCATTATCAAAGATGACAATTACATTACAATATATTAAGCAATACATGGACAAGACAGTGATGATAGTCTGTTTCTGTTTATATATATATATATATATATATATATATATATATATATATATATACACACAATTCAGTGAAAACAGACAACTTTAAGGGTCCATTGGTTATAATTTATTTCCCCAGGGAATTTCTTTTTCCCTGGATCATCAGACTACACTTTCAAGGGTGAAAAAATGAATTTAAATTTACATATATTTTTTATACACTTTTGAGAAGTAGTATTAAGTTGATATAACGTGATATAGAGAGTGGGGAGAGATGGTGACAGACATGATGGAAATTAGTGAGGGAAGGGAGAGATAGGAATGATTTTAAATTTATTTTTATTAAAATACTTAATAGTGAGGAAGGTGGGTAATGACCAGATATCGATCTATTTAATAGGTCATCTCACAGGAAACGATATAGAGAGAAAAAAAAGAAGTAAAGATGTAAGAAATAAGAGGTGGAATTAGGGGTTTTAAGGAAAGAAAGGGGAATAGAGATTTGGAAAGGGTAATTAAGAGAATTAATGTATGTGGTCATATTGCGGCTAATTTGGAAAAAATCAGATTTATATATTTTTCCGTTAACATTTGATAGTAATTTAAGCGTTTTAATCTTTCAACAAATAAAACTAGGAAATAAATATAATTTGAATATAATATCAATAAACAAAAAATATTACTATTATTAATATTTTTAATATTGTGAATAACAGTTAAAGAGTAATATTTCCTA